CATTGTGGGAGGGGCAGAGACACAAACTACTGGAGGAAATCTCACCATTGTGGGAGGGGCAGAGACACAAACTACTGGAGGAAATCTCACCATTGTGGGAGGGGCAGAGACAAAAACTACTGGAGGAAATCTCACCATTGTGGGAGGGGCAGAGACACAAACTACTGGAGGAAATCTAACCATTGTGGGAGGGGCAGAGATGCAAACTACTGGAGGAAATCTCACCATTGTGGGGGGTGGGGCTTTAAAAAATAAAACACGCATATACTAGCATACATTACTTTAATTCCCGGCTACAGTTTTCTGCAGGCCCGGCATTTCCTCTCCATCCTCGGTGTTTGCAGATCTGTTTTAATTTTTTTTCATTTCAGTTTTACAAAACAGAGCAGGCATGTTCAGTGGCACGCCGCGCACGCCCACCCTCCCGCACAACACCGCTGTTTTGTATAAAAGGCTTTTCTACCAAACGCCTTCTGTCTAATTCTAGTATGAGATTGTTCTGAACACTCTGCCAGGATAAAGATGTCCTGCTGAGATCGGATTCCTCGTACAGTACGGCTGGGAATGGGGGTGTTGGGGGGGCAGGATTTCCCGATCCGCCGCTGCGTCCCCTGTATAATGCAGCGTAGGTGTAATCACGGAAAAGAAAATTACCTACTTTATCAATTGTTCTCGGCGCTCGCCTTTTAGGTATGACTCGGAGCCGCTTCAGCCGGTGAATTCTGCAGTCCCGCGATGAGGAGCACAGCCAGGGGAGGGTTGGGGCTGATTCACATGAGAGCGGCGCTTTGCATCCTACCCGGGTTATCATTCAATGTACCTAAATAAAGGTATTGCCCAGAAATGGTTCGGGAGGGGGGGGGGCCTGCGGGCCAAAACTTTTTACTGTTGAAAGTATCAAGAAAATTCACCCAGTTTAATCAGCGATCTTGTGTCTGTAGGCCCTTCCTCTACCCTAAGCCCTAATTCACACTAGAAAAGGCCGGCACGTACAACTCCGTGCTGCGTGCACGACTGTATCGGGCAGCTCCCGGGAAGGACAGGTGCTGCGTGTAATTAGTACGCCGCCCTACGCTCCCCTCAA